AAAAAAAAAAAAAAAAAAAAAAAAAAAAGAAAAAAAAGAAAAAAAAGAAAAAGGGGGGGAAAAGAGGGAATACGAACTTGACTCTTCATGGACTGTTCATGGTTGCTCTCATAGCGGGCGTGGTGACCGAGACACTGGAAAATTGGGTACCAGGAGTCTCTGCCATCGTCATTGACAGAAACTAATGCAGTATATTACGATCTGTAGTGGTCTAATGGAGCTACTGCGGGTATGAAGGTGCGCGCGGTTGCTTCGAGCCGTTTATGTCAGGAGTTAGAATCAAATCACAGTACAAAGGTTTCTGATGCGTTTTTCAAACTATACTGATTAATTTAATTTCGCTTGCTATTCGCTTCAGACATGGTTTGTGAAGTAATTGATTATATTGCGACTGCAGTAGCTAATTCTTGACTTGAGCTTAGATGCTAATCGAACTGTGCTCGCAAACGGGTACTATATCAGCACTACTTCAAGTCAACCTCAAATTCAATAACGTCTACCGCACGGTATCCCAGAAACGGCAAGGAGTCTCGCCAAAATATACATAGCTTGGTAACGCGTGGTGTGCATACAACCCCGGCCCCCCCTCCTCCCCCCACCTTCACCCCGCTGTTCTCCTGCAGCACGCTTACACGTGCTGGGCGATAACCCGCAGTTCGGAAGCACAGACATAAGAACAGTACTTAGCCGGATCTCCGCTCCTGGGTGATAGAGGCCGCATCCTCGTGGAACAAGTCGACCTTCGTGGAGGCGAACTTTCGGGCGGAAACCTTGCGCTCGAAGAGCGCGTCCATCTCGGCGTACGTGCGGCCGCGGGGCTCGGGGACGCGGAAGTACGACCAGACGCAGCAGCAGAGGGCGAGACCGCCCCAGAAGAAGCCGGCCTTGCCGCGCCAGTTCCATGCATCGACGTTGAGCATGTATGGGATGATGACACCGTTGACGATGCTGAAGCAGTTGTAAAGATTGCGCGCGAGTACGACTGTCTTGATGCGGAGACGTGTGGTTGGGATTTCGGACACAAGAGAGTAGCACACGGGTCCGACGGTGGAGTCGTAGAAGAAGGTGTACACGAGGAGCATGGAGCCTGTGGCCCATGACGTTGCAGAGGATTCGGGGGCGATGGAAATAAATCCGACGATGAGGAGCAGACTGCACAGGATTGCTAGGCCATAGACATATAGTGGCCTACGCCCGATGTAGGACAGGAGCACCCAGGACAGGACAGTGCCAACAAAACCAATTGTGTACTGGGCCAGCGACATGTTAAACGACTGGGAAACCGCCAGACCAGCACGTTGGTAGAAGACAGTTGAGTAAGCCATAAGGCCTGAACCACACAGGTTCTGACCAGCCCAGATAAGGCACGAGATCTCAGTTCGGCGCAGATCGTACCCCTTGAAACAATCCCAGTAGGAGGTGCCAGAGACGATTTCCTTCTCCATCTCATTTGTGTGGACCATCATTGAAACCGTCTCGTGGGCGTTGAAATCGGCGTCTCCCTTGGAGGTTAGGCGAAGCAGAGCATTGACCGCATCCTCAGTTCGGCCTTTGCGTACGAGCCACCATGGGCTCTCTGGTGCGAGGACAACTCCAATGAAGATAGGAATTGGCCAGACCCATTGGATAGCAAACGGGATTCGGTACGCCCATTCATCAGTGCGTTCAGACAGGCCTTTCAAGATACCAGACGCAATGAGCTGACCGATCACCCAGCAGAGATTCACATAGGTTGTTAGATAGGCACGAAGGGCAACCGGGCACACCTCCGAAGCATAAGTTACGCTGAGAGTCTGATAGACACCAAGTGGGATGCCCATCAAGATCTCACCAACCAGAAGGGTCTGCACATTTTGCGCGAAGAATAAAATAAAAATAAAGGCGGTTGTCGCGATTAGCGATCCCATCATGGTCTTGCGGTAGCCGAATCTCTCCGACACAATTCCATTAAGGAAGAGACCAAGGATTTGTCCACAGTTCATTGCGTTGGCCAGACCAGACTGCCAGGCAGCAGTTAAGCCGTAATTCCCATCTGACAGGAGTCTGCCGTACTTTCGATTGAACGCCGGATAGGCGAAAAAGGAGCCCATGAGGACCACGTCGTAGCCCTCCATGATAATGGCAGAGGAGATGAGGATCGACCATCCCACAGCCTTGGGGTAAAGCTTCAAGCCACGCCATATGCTCATGTTGTGTTCCTTTTCGGTCGCGTTGCGGGCATCATGAATGACATTGTCCATGTCGACGGGGACTTTGAGGTCGTCCTCGACATGCTGGGCGCTGGATTTCATATCCATTGTCGCGGGATGAAACGCGTAATGACAATACAACAACAGGCAATGAAATGTATGACGACGAGTCAAAGGAGTAAGGGTGGAGCGAAAAATCACTCGACGCGAGGGATTGAAGCCCCTTATAGACCTGAAAATCGAATCCTAAGCTGTGGTGGCTTGTCGCCTTGCCCATGGCCGTCCGCGATGGTACGCTCGGGGATTTCGAGAGCGGCGGCACAGGGGTGAGAAGGCAAAGCGGGCGTTCTTCGGCATCGCAGCCCCGGACATTACGACACAGGCAGCAAGAATGCGGTCAATATCGTTCTCCCCGCTTCGGGTTTGGCCCAAACTCGGGCTCTCTTGGCACGTCTCGTTGGGGGTTTCTGGCAGCCAGCGACGGACTGGGAAGATGTGCAGCAGCTGGTTGGACGGTTAAGGTTCGAGCTAATCGGCCCTTTTGTGAGTCCCTGGCGGGCCTTTTGCCAAGCTGACTGGAACACAAGCGAGGGAATAAATACTCATTCGACGGTGGCGGTCCATCTCACTAAGCGAAAGGGCCAGACTTCCCCACGGTCTCCTGCATGGGGAAAGCCAACCTTGGAACTGTTCGATCGATTTCGAACTGAGGGTGACTGGAAATTGCGGGCATGTCTCTGGGCCTATCTCAATGCCTTAGTTCGCTAGCTACGCCCTTTCTTATCACCCCATGGGGTTGATCCTGCTGTCACGCGAGTCCGACAAACCGGATCAGTGCTCTGGTTAGCACCGTGCGACGTAGTCCCAGGGAACGAAAGGTGGACGCTCTCTCTCGGCTCCCAGTCACTTTCCATTTGCAATTGCCCTTCAGCCGTCAAGCCCAGCGGAATATGTGCATTTTTCACTGAGTGTAAAACTCAACTAACCACTCGCAGTCACCAGGTAAAGCTTTCCTCAAAGAAATCAACGCTGCTGCCACTCTGCGCCTCCCTGCACACCCTCCGTACATCATCATTAAATTCCCCATTGCCACAGCACAGCACTCCCATTGCCCCAACCTGATTCTTGACCTCCACCGCCAGCACCTCCTCAAAGCTCGGCCGCCCGCTAAACACCTGCTTTTCGCTCTGACTGTCCAACCCAGTACGACTAATCTCATCCGTGTTGACGCACACACCAGTGACGTAGATTAGGATCCGCAACACACGAGCTGATGTTCTCCTACTACAACACTCTTCTTCCTCCTCTTTCCCCTTCCCAATCCTCAGAATACTGCCAATCCAGTCTTCAACGCACTCTACATCCCCCAGCAATCGAACAACCCAGACTAGAGTAATTCTCCTCGCCGCGACTGTTCCATCGACCTGTCCACGCACAAGTCTCCTCAGATACAAAAGGTGGTGCGTGATCCCAATCCCGCCCGCGAACAAGATAACAGTTCCATACGAATCAAGCGAATGAATGGCCCCGTATGGTCCTTCAATAAGGGCATGCACCGATAGGGTCTGATTCACACTCCGGCGGACACGGCGGGCTAGTGTCTCTGTGAAGCCTGTTCGGCGGCGGACGAGGATGTAGATTGCTTCTGGTTGGGGCTTGATATTGTTCTCATCTGTATATGTGGTGGAGCCGGGAGTGTCAAGCGTGTCGGTCCAGCATACTGAAAAAGGATGCGAGGTCCAGAGCGAAATGGAGGGAATGTACAAGTAAAGATGCTGTCCAGGTCTAACCAGCCACGGACGGGGAAGGCGCAGAGCTATTTTTAGGAGGTCTTCAGGCAGGTATTCAATCACGGCCGTGGTCAAAACGCGGCTGCTGTTGCGATAGAGGATTGCGGCGATGCGTGCGGTGCGCTTTCGTTTTTCCAAGTGGTTAGTTATTCTGGTGGGACGCTTGTCTGAGGTGGACCAGTACCTCAATAGCCCAAAGGACTATCGCCCCAAGCAAGAATTGCTGAGCTACACGCCCTTCCAAATGAATCCAGAGGAAGATAAATGACACGACTACTATAGCGATATGGAGGTGCAGAAACGTCTCGTAGAAGGCGTGGCGTATTGGAGACGGAGAGTGAACAAGGAGAAAGGAAAAGGCACTGGCAGCCTGAGGTTATAGCCGTAAAATAAGTTCAGAAACGGCCCAAAGCAAGGATTTGTACAAGGGCGACTCACAATTAGTCCTGTTTGGATAAACCCTAACTGTCACTGAATGCCAGTCGAACCGCATCCCAGCCGCCTATGAGATTAAAGAAGGTGAGCGTCAACGAAACATATCCTAAACAGGGAGGCATTTTTTCTTACCATGTCGCGCTTTAGGAATACACCAGGTAAAGACATGAGCAAAGCTCTCCAAAACAGCAATGCGCGCAAGCCACCGGTGAAGCAGGTTAAAAGTATCGTAGGAGATTTGTAGAAGGTAGATTAGCGGATTATTTCTGCCAGCCATCAAGACCACCGGAATAAGATTCACTGTCGCCATAGTGCCCGTTCGACGTTGAATAACAGCAGCAGCTTGGTCAGTATGGTAAGGCACATTCATCGTACACAGTGCCACATTCATCGCAAGAATTCCTATCACAACAAACGATTGAGCACGGCTAGGCAATGTGCCCATGTTTACAGCCCGAGAGAGCCGAAACTCTTGATGGTGCCGGGTGTGAAATAGTGGCGCATACAAGAAATGCATCCGAGTCGCTGCAAGCCACTTTAGCGCAGGCACAAAGTACCGTTGCCGGTCATTTGTTAGACATGCTACTTGTCTTAAGTAACATGAGAGGCAAAATGCAGCTCTCCAGATAAATAGAAGTGCGGCGAAACATCCGAGGGCTAGCAGGATGTAGTGAGCAAAATCCTTGTCCACCTGCTGGTAATAGAGATCTTGCGGATTGTCCTTGTCGTTGTATCTCCTATCGACTTGCATTCTGATTGAGACGAGCGAGGCCTTTTGGTGTACTCACGTCCGTGCCTGCTAGTAGCGCGTTGTGGCTTGTGGCTCGAGGGCTTGAATAGGCTACGTCGAGCAAAGACCTTGATAATTTCTAGATAACAATATACAACTAGAGAGGCTGCCGGGTGCTGGTTGCTAGGTAGAGGCGACGGTGCCCTTGATGGGAGGGTAATGCAGGATGTGGTAGCATGGACTGGTGGGATACCGGGCGCTTGTTTGTATATAGATATATATAGAATATTATCGTCCCTACTTTTCATATACTGGAACGTCACGTTCCGCCGGCTTCTATCACAAGAAGACACAGATGGAAGGTATACGATGTGGGAATCACAAATGGCCTCAATCTCAGCCACCGTTTCTGCATCTCGGCCACACTCCGGGGGTATACTTCATGCAGAATGCGTAGAATGATTCACTGGAGCCCCCTGTCGATCTTGACGTCTGCAGAACTTTCGGGGAGATGAAGACATGCGGGAGAGGGCCTTCAGGGCGTTCTGCAGTTTTCAGAGGCAAACGAGGAAAGAGGCCAGGGTGGACATGACATTTTGGTCGTAAACACATGCTGGTCATTCTACTGTCCTTGGCATGCTGCTACTGCGTTACATTCATACAGAGAGGTTGCACTTTGTAGCTTATCTTGCACGCTTAGGGTATCACAAAAGCAGTCACAATAAAAAGAAAAAAGGAAAACGAAATGACGTCTGCAGATACCCTGGGGCCACAGAATTGCAGATGATCAGATCGAATCGCGGGGCGAGCTTCGCTCCTCCGTTGTGGCTGTGGCAGCTGCTATGGGCAGCGGTGATTCTGCGGAGTCTCCACCACTTAGTCCTTTGGATTAACCCATTTAACATTGAGGTGTGGTACGTTGTCGGAAGATGTCGTTTACTGGACTGCACGGGAATCATCAGAGCAGTAACTAGCGTTCTGATGATTACTGTTCTGTAAGAGAACTGCAACGCAGTAGCGAAGTCGATACACAAATGCAGAATATACAGTATAGACCAATAATTAATACCTTTGCCATCTACTGGTTCAACCAGCTATCTCATTATATCCTGATTTTTCCAAATTGCGCTGAAGAAGACGAAAACTTGGAGGCCTTTGTGTGCTTCGCGAACAAGATATCAATCTCAAGATAACTAAGCCCGTACGGCTCGGGGAGCCTGAAATAGCACCAGACCAAACACAGGGCCGTGGTGCCGACGAAGAAAAAGCAAGATTTACCCCTTCCAGTTTCACACGGGCAGGCTCAGCATGCGCGCTGCAAGGGCGTTGGTAATAATACTGGTGATATTGTGTAGACCATATGGCCGACGACAATTGTTTTCATTCGGAGTCGGGTAGAAGGAATCTCCGCAACCAGCATATACCTAACGGGACCAAGCGTCGCTTGATATACGGTGGTTAGCACGATGATCAAGGGCCCAACGCTCCACGACTGGGCGGCAGTTTCGGGCATCAAGTTAACGCAGTCACAGGTGATGAGAATAGCTAGTGAGAGCGAAGTACCAGTGAGGAAGAGGCGCCGGCGTGCAGAAACCATTTGCGCAAATTGACACTTACTGTAGTACATGCCGACCGCGAGATTACAAGCATCGTGCACCCGAAACCCAGTTCACGCGTAGAATGGGATGGCGTAGAATGTCAGCGTCGAGCCGCAGACCTGCTGCCGTGGCCTACACCATGATGGTGATCTCCGTTCACCGGCAGTCCATGCCCTGAAAACAATTGAGGTAGGTCAGCTTGTCATTCCCGTAGTATTTCTCGACTTCGTTGGTGTGTTTCATCATTGCCACAATCTCCTCGATGCCCAAGGTGCCGGCGCCCTTGCTTGTCAGCAGCAAGACTGATTTCCGAGGATCGTCCGACCGACCTTGGCGGATTAGCCACCCTAGAATACCGCATTTTGTCAGGAATGCTGTTAAGAGGGCAAGGGAGCGGTTAAAACTAACAGGGATTCTTGGGCGCAAATACAGCCCCGGTTAGAATAATGGCCATGGACGCCCACTGTATTGCGAAGGGAAGGCGATAAACCCATTCCGGGTCTGTCTCGGCCAAAGCACGGATCACATCAACGCCGCGGGTCTGTCCAAGAATCCAGCACAGATTGATAGCTAAGAAATTGATCTCGGAGCTGCCACCGGCATCACCTCGGCAGCATAGGAGACCGACAATGTCTGGAAAGTACCCCAAGGGATGCCTGTGCGGAGTTTAGAAGTGGAGCTGTGCTCCAACAGGATTGTATTGCGGGTTTAGAAAACACCACGTAGAATCTGAGCGGCTAGCAAAGTCTCCAAATTCCTCGAAAAGACTGCCAGGAAGACAAATGCGCCCAAGACAAGCAGGGCAGATATCAAGGAGCGCCGGTAGCCAAACCCCTCGGCAATCAACTCATTTCAAGGAGGCCAATGATATCCCCTGCCTGGGTCCCATTCATCAAGGCCGCTTGCCAGACCGACGGATTTTGAAACCTGGGCTGCTCATCGCCCTCGGTCGAGCCATACGTCCTTTGGAAGACAGGGAATGTAAAGAAGCAGGTCAGGAGACTCATCATACCCATCCATGATGATGGTTGACGACAGCAAAACAGACAGTAGAAAATTGCACTTTGGGATATTGAGGAAACGCTTGACTGAAATGCAATTCTCTGTTCCGCTCGAGTCGCCGTCCGGTCGCCAGGGGTGAGGTCGCTGAGACCCGGAATTGTTGCTGACAGGGAGTTAAAAATGTCGCTATTGCTGGAAAACGGATTGACCTGCCTTGTGACTTGGAACGATAATGCTGCTGGATGAGATGTTGTGAGTATGCGATAAGGCTGGCTTCACCTGTGCGGCGCCACCCCGGAGGATGGTCAGAACAGATAGTATCCATGCTCCCTTCATTGGATGTCGCAAAAATAGAAAAATTGAGAGGCGATGCTTGTCGTATTCACAATGTCTGAGAGAATAATCGCATCTGCATGTCTAGTGGTGGGGATCCAGGCAACGGGCTCGATTGCTCGCCAGGGGCCCGTGCATTTTGCGGGGATGAGAACATGTGGAGAGAGCTTTCCTTGTTTGAACTAGGCCCAGTTAGGCCGACTGGAACGACCTGAAAGCACTGAATTAGACTTGGAGTTAGCCCGTAGGATGCCCGCGACTGCAGCCGAATCCGGCTTCCGATCCTTGACTTTGCCTGATAAAACACGGGTCCTACCGTTTCACCACGTACCTCCGGCCTTTGATCGATAATTCACATCGCAAGCAACATGGCGTTCCCCTTCTTCCCGGAGAGCCATCCGTCCATGACTGTGGAGAACTATGCTTATATGCGACAGCTCCTGCAGCATCAAACAGCGCTACACGACGACAGGCAAGAGGCGGCAGAGCACGCAGGGCAGAGACCCCCTTCGTCAAGTACGCGCAGACGGTCGTCTGAGCTGTCAAGCCTACGACTTCAGCGAAGTGGAAGTGGATATGGAGTGCAGCGGGCCAGGCATCCATCGAAACTAGCCCGAATTTTCATCCCCGCTAAAGTTCAAAAGTCCAAGTCGGTAGAAGATCGGCGCGGTTGGAATGATGATCGCTACACTGGCGGTGCCTCTTGCATCTTACCCCCGTTCAGCTCCGCAACCACCTCAACAGCGACTCGACCAAGCACTTCAACAACTACTACAATCTCCACAACAACGACGTCCGCTGCCGATCCAGCAAAGCACATCTTCCGTTTATACTCTGCTCTACTGACAAACCCGTTCTCTCTGGAATTCGAGCTGAATCCTCTCCTCCTCAACATTAATCACCCGCTGCTATCTAAGCAACATACTAGATGGCGTCATCTCAGGGTCCTTGACCTAGGCGGCATTGAAGGCAGTATGCTTACACCTCTTCCCGACACTCCTTTGTGTTACAAGCCTTTGCTAATTCTAGGGGAAACAACAAGGCTTGTACACACAGACGATCGCTGGTCTACCTTATGTTGCCGTATGTCAGCTCACACAACCGCAGCTATCGACAAACTTTTCGCCGTATTTGCCCTTTAAACCAAAGAGTTTTGATGTGGTCACCACAAGAACGCTGTATAAGTTCATCGGGAACCCCCATCGACCACACGCTCTCGAGCCGAAATCTTGGGTTCAAGAAATCCATCGCATCCTAGATAAGGGCGGTAACTTTGAGTTCTTGTTCTTTGATTCCCACCTCAGCCATGCCGGGCCGCTTACAAGGCAAATGGAGGCCTGTCTCTACGAGGACCAACGATTGTGCAGCTGTGGGCAGACTTACCAGCCGTGTTCCTGCACTCCAGCAACAGAGTTAACCCCAGAGGCTATAACTGGAACTCAGTTTCTCGAACTCCTTGCCTGCGGGGGATTCACTATAGAGAAGTGTGCCACTCTCATGTTTCCATTTTCTCTCCTGTCTTCAGCTTTTACCCAGGACGGACAGCGACTGAAGGTGAATCAGGCGGACTCTGGGAGTGGTCGGTCGGATGTGACTCCGCTGCTTGCGTCACTCATTAAGACGATTAACCAGGAGTGTACAGAGACTCAAACGGCTTGGAGATGTATTATAGGCTCTGCGCGGAAGAAATAGTACAGAACTAGCTTGAGAACAATATATTATTCTGTACCATCGAATCCAACAACAAGATTAGAAAAGCCCGGGGTTAGACTTTCTTTGCTTCTGAAACGACAACGGGCGTTTCTTCGGCAGTGCGCAAGGCAAAATAGACCCCCGGTTGCTCACACGAGCGGATCCTGGGAACGATTACGACGTACATAGTTATTCTCTCCCGTACCGAAGAATCCGCTGCTTCTGATTCAACACCTAATTTCCGACGCGGGCGCGTGGTTACATTGTGGAATCGGGATATGGGAAATAATGCGGTTTCTTTGGCCGACGTAGCGCCGAGATCACTCGCACTTTGTGTGTTGTGGCTATTCATTTCATTGGCTGCATTACTTCTGGAATGTTGCATTTCTTCAGACCTAAAGCAGCTGTGATACAGATCTGGACAAGACGTAGTTTCTGAAGCAAAATAGTACCTGACGATTACTGCAGATGAATAAACGCCCATATTGTCACAAGATACTTTGCCTTCGTTCCAAATCTATCCTTTGAATTCTTTGGAGCTCCTGTTGGGTCATTTGTTTGGTGACTTGCACCCGCGAAACACCGAGGAAAGGCCTCACTTGGAAGAGAAATGGGCAGAGTGGCCCCGCTTCCAAAACGTGGCGTCTTCCATCTCCGAGCCTTCTGGGGAATCCGGGGGTACGGGGATACTCGGTCTCTTCTGTGCCTTGGCCCCCGTATGCAAATTGGAGCTCCTGAAATCATCAACCGGGCTCTCCGTGGGTATAAATACCGGGTGGAAAGCGCGACTTCCTTGAGTACGAGTAGATACCTCATCCAAATATCTTCTGGCAAGTCCATTCCGGTTGACCGCCTTTTCAATTGACCCTCATACAATGAAGGCCTTCCTAGCGGCGGCCATCTTCATGGCGGTTGGCTCAACCTGCCTACCATCCCCAAGTGGAAACGCGACGGATTGCGATTCCAACCTCTGTACCTGGTGGCATGACTCTGGTGAAATCAACACGAAGACCAGAGTTCAGCCCGGCAATGTGCGCCAGTCACACCGTTACAATGTAGAGGTTGGCCTTGCCGGCACCAATGCCTTCCGTCCCTCCTTCGTCTACGAGTCAATCCCAAGAAACGGCAACGGGCGCATTTACTCGCCCTGGGACTACCCCAATGACGGCACTCTGGGCAAGGACGTGGATGATGGGATCAGCATTGAACCCGAGGTTGGCATCACCATGGCGTGGTCCCAGTTTGAGTATGCTCAGGATGTCGATGTCAAGATCAACCGCCGCGATGGCCAGAGCTTGGGATCGACCGCCAATGTGATTATCCGGCCCAGCTCCACTAGCTATTCCCTGAGTACCTCGAGTGATGGGGGAATCATCATCCGTGTGCCCAAGGATGACCACGGTCGTCGGTTCTCTGTTGAGTTCAACGATGATCTATACACCTACCGCTCCGACGGACAGAACTACGTCCATTCCGGCGGTGATGTGGTTTCTGTCGAGCCCAGGAACGGGCTCCTCATTTTTGCCAGTCCCTTCCTGCCTTCCGATAAGATCCCTCAGATGAACGACGACAACACTAGGACAATGACTCCCGGACCCATCAATGCTGGCGACTGGGGGGACAAGCCAATCCTTTACTTTCCTCCTGGAGTGTACTGGATGAACTCGAACCCACAGGGTGATAAGCCCAAATATGGAGAGAACCACCTCAAGCTCCACCCAAACACATACTGGGTGCATCTTGCCCCGGGAGCCTATGTGAAAGGTGCAGTCCAATACACGACTTCAAACAGTGACTTCTTCGCCACTGGTCATGGTGTCCTTTCCGGAGAACACTATGTCTACCAGGCCAATCCTGCAAGCTACTACCAGGCTGTAAAGAGTGATCAGACGAGCCTTCGTCTCTGGTACCACGGAAGCGTGCGCAGGCAAACCTGGCACTGCCACGGCCCAACCATCAACGCCCCGCCTTTCAACACGATGGATCTTCACGGAAACAGCAACGACGCCAGTGTCCGCATCGCTGACTACAAGCAGGTCGGTTCTTTCTTCTTCCAGACTGATGGACCGCAAATGTACCCCAACAGCGTCGTCAACGATGTCTTCTACCATGCGAATGATGATGGTATAAAAGCCTATTACTCCAATGTTGACGCCAAGCGCCTCACCATCTGGAAAGCCCACAACGACCCCATCATCCAGATGGGCTGGGATTCACGCCAGGTTGACGGTGTTGTTATTGATGGGCTAGATATTATCCACACCCGCTACCGCCGCTCCGAGACTGTGGTGCCATCTGCGATTATTGGCGCGTCCCCATTCTATATGGACGGCAAGACACCCGACACCAGCAAATTCATCAGCCTGTCTATCTCCAATGTTGTCTGCGAGGGACCCTGCCCATCTCTCTTTCGCATTCAGGCTCTCCAGAACTACCGGAACTTCCAGGTCAAGAACGTCGCTTACCCAGATGGCTTGATCACGGGCAGCTTCGGTCTGGGCCAGAGTATCGTCCCTTATGTACCTGGAATGAGAATGGAGCTGCATGTGGAGAACTGGACCATCAGGGGGCAGAAGGTCACCATGACCAATTTCCAGTCTGATCGGCCAGGTCAGCTGAACATTGCCGGGGATTACTGGGGTCAGTGGTCTATAGAGTGACATGATTCGCATTTGGCGCCCTCCAAGGCGTTGTATAGCCTTCCTCAAGTTGATGGGAAACACACCCAAGTTCATTCTACCAGTACCTGTGGAACTCCAGATCCTTATTGACTCATTTTGTATACAATTTTTTTTCTTGCTATAGTTGGCTGGGAATCAAATTATACATTGATTAGTATCTGTTATGTAAACCCATATTCACAACAGCATATTATCCACATGTAGATTTAATGGCCCTAAAGTTTGATACATCTACTGAACTTCCAACATAGTTGGTACTTGGTAGCCGTTCTTACTTTTGGTACAATTCCCTTAGAAATTTAAAATGGATGCAAACCTAGAAAAGGTCCGTCCTCACCTCCATTATAGGTGCTGTAGCCGTCACTCTATATACAATCTAAAATCCTCTGTTAATAAATATGCTCTAGCTACTTAAGAGATTAATTTCTTAGAGGCAGAGACTAAAGAGATTATTAGCTACAAGTAGACATACTAAAGACCAAAAACATAGAAGTACCAGTCCAGCAATCACGCGGCAGGAATAGGATTAGTAGAAATAAGCTATATCTAGAGGTATTATACACAAACTTAGCGCTCCCAGTAGTTATTATTATAGATATAGACTATATATAGTATGCATTGAAGTATGCTGTACTTCTCAACCCCTACTAACAAAATATACCCAGCAGTAAACCAGGAATATATTAGTATATACTAAACTTTAGGGGAAACTCCTACTAAACTTTAGCATGTTAATTTTATAATAATAATCTATATAAATCTTCTTTATATAATACTAACTAATTAACTGGGTGTATAAATATATCTTAATTAAGTTTTAGTCCTTTATAATCTATAGTTAATACAGAAAATGATATATTCCTATCATACCTTAAGGTTATATGGGAATAGTAAGTGGTTCTCTATACTATATATGTGAATGAAAATGAACAGTATATACTCAAT